TCTAATGGAGCGTTCATAGTTGGCGATGATTAGGCGATTAGGCGATTAGTCTAAATGAAAAATATACGTATAGATTAGGCGATTAGGCGAGTAGTCGAGTAGGCGAGTCAGGCGAGTAGGCGATCAGGCGAGTATGCGATTAGGCGGTGAAGACTACATACGTATAGACTTGTATGCTCCGCCCTTGAGGCGAGTAGGCGAGTAGGCGAGTAGGCGAGTAGGCGAGTAGGCGATTAGGCGATTAGGCGATTTGCACACGGCGCACTCCTTAGTCGTCAAAATTGAGGCGCACATGCATATTAGCTTCTCACCCATACACTAGACTACTAGTTGGTAAAAGCAGATCTTGTCAAAGTGTTGCATACAATCCAGATATCACCTAATCGCCTACTCGCCTAATCGCCTACTCGCCTGATCGCCTACTCGCGTACTCGCCTAATCGATACGTATCCTTTACTCATCGCCTGATCGCCTACTCGCCTAATCGCCTACTACTCGCGTCTCATCGCCTAATCCGCTACGCACCTACTCCCAACTATGAACAACTCCATTACACTCCAGTAACACGTTAGCGGTCCAGCGGGGTACCGAGTGGAGGCCTCTCCGACGGCGAAGATGACAGAGACCAAAACAGGCTCCCAGCGAACTAAACTCGAGCCCGTATTTTGTGAGATTTTGTCGTCAGTTTTAATAACATAAAACTATACCTACGCTCTCGCTTAGCAGTACTGCCTAACAACTGTCCAATCGCCTATTTCGCCGCCTATGGGGTCCTCTCGTGTGTATCCTAGGGTCGCCACATAACGAAAGAACAATATGTCCACTCAACTTCCCCCCAGCACTTTTTAATTTAGTTGCTGAACTTTGACCAACATTAATTCGCTACTTTTGTTCCACGAGCAGCTGGTACATATAGCGTGAGGTGACGTTCAACCCTATACGCGCACATATGCGCACACTCCTTAATTCTGCGTACTACTCCTTATTTGAAAGGTCGGTCAGATGAATCAGTGTGCATTTTTTTTTGACAAGTAAGTCCATTCTATTCTTCCGGCAAAAAGGTGCGCTGAGGAATGTCAGTGGGAGGTAAAAAGCAAAAAGCAATCTGTGAGTTCGACCGTGGCGTAAGGGAGAGACAGAGCGCTGCCAGTAGAGGGAAAACGGAAGAGAGCACGTCTTACGCAGAGTGCGCAAACGCCACGTATGCGGCGATTGATAAGCGTGCCAGCGGTCACAACGGTCGAGCTAGGGCATTGATTCCCTTGTCGCACAATTTTAAGTCGCGACAGTACCACCACCCCGTGATTAGGGGTTTCACTACCTCCTTTTCTCTAAGGATCCTTTCGCGACATGCGCCTTTAAGGCTGTGCGTCTGCACTGGCTCGCCAGGGAAATCCATCTGGGGGGGGGGGGGCTCGCTACGATCACTTCGCCTCACAGGCAGAAGTGGAATACTATACTAATCCTTCGCACAGAACAATACAGTATCCTCAGTTTTTTCTACGTCGACCCATCCTGCTCTGCTAACTATCCTTCCCAGCAATGAAGGTTATGACAGGATCCGATTTCAATAGCTAAGTGTTTAGCTCCTTCCCTAGACTTTATCGCATATTATTGTTCTCGTTCTAGTCTAAGATTATATTGAACTATTCAGGCCAACTGTACAAGGAGGATTTTGAAGGATATCCAAGAACAGGGGAAATTGACGGCTGAGGAAGTGAAACAGCTCTTAGAATCTCTACTCGCGAATATTCTCAGATTTTTCGTTCTCTACTGTGTACATGGCCTCAGGTAGGAGAAATGTTGCTGACACTCAATAGGAAAAGTTCTTATATAACACCTACTTCAGAGACCAAGTGTCGACCAAATTATCGAATACTGGCGAAGTTATGTACCGGCTGAAATATCCGGCTGAAATGAGTACTGTGTCTACAGTAGCTCAGTCAGATGAGGTGGGTCATACACTATCATTCTAGTATTAGACTGGCCCTTTGTTCGAATCAAGAATCCCCAAAAGACAGAATAAGGGCATTCTATTTTGGGGTGGGAAGTTTTTATCAAAGCTTTCATTGTTTCCTAGATATTCGTGGCCTATTAGTGAGGACATCATACTAGGGTATGGCAGAAAGGCTCACTTTGGCTTTAAGTGAAACCACTAATCACATACACAAGTAAAACTTTTTCAAAGACACAATCTGTACAGATGTCGGGTGAACAATCCCCTTCGGTCGAAGGGATGGAACACTAACCATAAGGGCAATCACTCTCGCGCATGGATATCGCCCGATCAGAGCGATAGGGCCTTGCAAAGACAACTTCCGTGTAGCTCCATCTTTTTTGCCCTCTCCTCCACCTTACACTCTCCTCTACACCCCATACTCTCGTTGCCGCTTCGTCACGGCGGAAGTCATCAACGATAATATTTTGACAACTCTGTTCTTCTCTACCAGAACGTGTGCAGGAACCTCAGCTCGCCCTCTGGGCACACGTACCTACACAGCATCCACCTGAAAATTTCCGCAAAAAGCGGAAAACACTGAAATTTTTCCTGTGGAGTGGACAGTGGTACAATGGAGCGACACTGCGTTGGAAGTGGAAGGCGCATGAGAAACAGACGCCACGCATGTGCTGCGACTTATAACAGAATAACGCCTGAACCCATTGCACCCACCGCTTGCGCATTTTTTTTCATATTTTTTTCATTAGTCGTTTTCCCTCAACAGAAATATTAATATCATATAGAAGATCACATTCTTTTCGGACCCGATCATCGAATCACGGCTGCTAATAGACATGGATATGCCAAATAAATAAAGCAGAAGAGCCTGTCTAATTGTAAAAAGATGTCACGCCGGCGCTGTTGTCAACAGGTATTATTGACCAAGCTGGCGGAATGATTAAGATATTGTACAGAGTGGAATAATTTGTCCTCAACAAGCTTCCATCTTTGATTCAATTTCATTATCACCTGTAATATGCATGGTTCCTAACATGAAGCAAGCATATGTATGACGTATTTGAACCGATTCCACTAGCAAATTGATTTTTTTCCCTCTTTGCATTTCATAGAGATTACCTGATCGTTTCTTTTGGACAAATCAGGTCTTGTTGAAATGTACACCCTTGAATGATGATTCTGTTCCACGGCTAAAAGACCTGTTGGAAAAGCAATCCGACGGCTGTCCTTCTCTCCCTTATCAGGTACGTTCAATTCAGTGCAGAGTCGTTGGCAGTAGATAGGTATGCTCATAACGCAGCATTTCCAGATCACTCACTTGCCTGTCCCACAAATCGTGGAACTTGTTCTCGGAGAAGCGCTTCATAGTCAAATTTCTCATAGGTTTCCTGCATTCCTGGTACATTTGGAAGAATATGCTGCTCTTCTGAAGACACTGCAATCACGTTTTCAACACATGTAATTTTCAGATTTTCAATATTTTAAGTTTGTAATTTATTGAAAAAATTGTGTTAGTAGCTCAAAATACAGAGGAGATTGAGATAGTAGAACTGCAGTGCCAAAAGTCAGAAGACACGGTTCCCGTGAAGCCAGCCCTCTCTCCTTTCTTCGAGCCCAGTGATCGTATATCTGCCCCTTCAAGGACTTATGATTTACTAGAGAAATTCAAAAGCTTAGAAGCTGACAAAGAAATTGGCATATTAATTCTTTCTTCCGACAGAATTCCAACTTGTAGACACCCTCCATATCTGGCGGGCACACTACATAGTCAAATGTTGTGATTACCTTTCACTTTGACTACATTATGGAGAGTATCAATTAAAAAAAGAAAAATGTAATGTTTTTCTTTTCCGGGAACAAGGGTCTCTAATAAAAACTTTATTAGGCCCTGCTTTTTGACCAGATAGACCTGCTCGAGAGCCTAAACGTGACTCAAGGTTGAATTCATAACCACGAATCGCCTCTTCTCCATAGCGTTTCACGGCACGTTAGGATCAGCAGGAAAACTCGAAGAGGGCACTAAATTCATCCAGTCTATCACCACAAGAGCGTAACAGCGTTACTCTGTGCTAGAAATCCTTAGCGAATTTATTTATTTGGATTACAATTTATTCCGATTTGCTAACCATTACCAACACAGAATGCCGCTGTTCCGCTCTTGCTGTAGTAGAGTGGCCTTATGGAACGTGATCTGGTCAGAACATATTCATCTAGTCACACCTTAAAACGCTAGAGGATAAAAACATTGAAATTAGCAAGCCGAAGTTTGGTGGAGAGTCCGGAATTTCAAAAATAAGGAATAATTTCGAAAACACCGCTGCCTTCACAACTTCGATATGATATGTTGGTTTATTTTCAAAAGTGTCCAGGCAATCATAGGATAAGTTTGAAATCGTACAGATACGGTTGCGCTGTATTCCGTTTTATTTGTAATTTTATTTTCAGGAGGCTATCCATGAAGATACGTCAACGGTAAGTAACAACTAAGCTTACCCGAAGAACGAGCTTTATGAATCTGCTGATTGAAATGTTTCAGGAAAGGAAGTAAGATTCTCTCGTCAACGGATGTGGACAGTCATCTTTATATGATTTTCACAATATTTCAAGATTGGGCCCTGCTAATGAAGGTACTGATGCTATGTGATAATCATAACGTTTCCTTAAATCCCCCGAGAAAAAAAATAAATAAGGTGCAGAGGTGCAGCGAGATCGGCAAAATGTCCCTATAGATAGGATTTCTCAGCCGGAAGGGTAAAGAATGAGAAAACAAATATTCTGGATTCACGAAGCGCTTCAGATCACATTTCTGGCCTCATTTCGGTATTGCGAATTACAAGAGGCATGAATCGGTCAAGGCACAAACTAGAATGGAGTGGATGAGTTCCTTTTGTGGAATATGGCGCTGCTTGAAGGTCGCAAATGTCTCGCTATCGCTCTACAAGTGCGCACAAGGGCGTTTGAGGCTTGTGAAGCCGCTTCGACGCTTCCATTTTCTGCTCTTCCTAAGTTACTGTGTATATAGTCTCTTTCATCCATTTGCTCTCTCGCCTACCCTCTAATCTCCGTGCTCAGTCTTTATTGCCTCAGCACAGAGGTGAGCAATCCCTCATCTCGAACATTGTCGACAGATTCCTTATGGCAGGCCCACCTTTGCACCAATCCTTCCATTTTGTGTGTGCAAGGAGCACACCAGCTGATTCCAGAGCATGTCCTTCACACGAGTATCACAACAAATAGTTATATACAGGAAAATGGGCGCAAAAATGAAAGAGAGAGAATTCTCAAAACAGGAGAGAAAGACTCTTTTCTTGCCTTTCACCTGTGGCATTGAGCCAATAACCAGTTGAAGGGTAGATTTTATCCTATAGCCACAATCATGCCTACCAGCACCCGTTGGTTGATAATGCGTTCTGAAGAAAAGTTGGAGGATACGTGCCGCTCGTAGTGAAAATACCCTTCCAAAATGGAATCGAGGGACCCTGCTACTAACAGCACATTGATGGGCGGAGCACAGGCCTAGGCGGAGCGCAGAAAGGGTTCAGTGCCCTGCTGTGGATGCGTGTAGCGCAGCTTTTGCTGATAGTATGTGCCTTCATGCTGAACGCGAGCTTTATCGTAATCCTTCGCTGTTGGGGCTCGCGAAAGCCAACCAATGTTATACTATTTTATCCTCCTGCACACCTGCAACTTAATCGACTGGAGATGTAACGGTTCCAGATCCATGTCGAAAAGTGCACGGGATGGGCATTCTGATTCCTGAATGCATTTGAGTATTACAATGGCCGCACTAGTAAAAACGCCCCGATCGCGCGCCCAAAGAAGAATTGTTAGCGCCGTTGTTGACGTGTTTTTCTTAATGTAATATTGTCCCAAAAATTGTTATATATACGGTCCTGTTCAGATTAAACAGCTGCGGATAATACTTAGGGATAACATGCGTGAACTGAAACCTGGAGACTATGAGCAAAAATTATGGAGCTCACGAGATTGCCACCATGGACCAGCCAAGTTCTATTGTGAGATTTAAATAATAGGCCAGCTGAACTTGTTTGTTCACATCGCTTCACCTTCGTTTCACATTTCAGATCCTTTATCGAGATTCGCCAAGGGTCCACAGTCACTTCCAACTGATCTTTTGAACAGAATATCTCTGCGGTTCAATCACTTCATCCTGAACTACGCGGTTCATGTCTTCAGGTACGCTTTATTCATGTGGTTTTTCGTCTTTATTTTCTACAATAACAATTATAGGGAACATATCCGAGTTCTGCGAGAATGGTGACAGCTTACAGTTTTGTGTGAATCCTTCCCTTATTGAAGTCAAGGATCAAGATGATAAACCGAAGACCAAAAAGGTAGGCTTCACTTCTTATCTGCGTTTCAAAATAGGTTGCTCTTCTACAGTTATTATCGCTGTTTAAAATCTCTTTTTTTCTACCTTTAATACAGTATCAAGGCCTATAAGAAGTAGGGTAAGGTAAGATGTTGTGCGAAAAGGCACTGAGGGCTCTCTTTCCCCCCGTGTGTTTTTTTTTTGAATTCTTTTCTTCCATTGGCTTATCTTAATTTCTTACTATTATTCACGACAGAATCTTTTTTGTTCAACAATCAAAGAATAACTATTGAAAAGGCTTCAAAATTCGACAGTAGGGACTTTCCTGGGACTGGTTATCATGTGAAATTTTCTCACGTGAGGATTTCAATAAGAGTAGTGAAGTAGCTAGCGAAATATGTCACACCATGTAAGTAGCTGTTCCGCGACTGCACGCTCAATTGGGAGTTTTTGCGACTACGGTTCGGCTCACTAGCAGCAGGGTCAACCCTATCGTTGTTACTTTTCGAAAAATTTTTACGACCCCCCTCCCCCAAGGTGGATTTGGTACGACCCCCTTTTCGACACCTCGACCACCATATTCCTCTCTATAGTATTTAATTCTGGTACCACTCAACCCACCAAACTCCGCCCACTTTTTCCTCCAAAAATGCCGTCGCGGGGGGTATATACGCGCGCTGAAACGGCGAATTTTTCTCCCGTGCGCTCCCAACTCACCTAGCCTACTACTCGTGAAAACTCCACTTTCACCACAAACTCACATGTACTTTCACGCGACTGAAGCGGATACGACCCCCCTCCTATAAACTCAACCAGGTACGACCCGTTGTACTAGAACACGTAAGGGTAACCCTCTAGCAGGCAGTTGCGAAAGTATGGGCGGTGCAATGGCAACTAAATTACTTTGCGACTGATGCTTTTTTTCACAACAGTTCGATAAAAGTCGTATAGAAGATTATAAAGTGCCCTATGTTAAGGCAACAAGTAATCAAGAAATCAGTAAGATAAGGGGTTATGGCGATTGAAACTGAGAGTAGAGATGCGAAGTGGAACGACAGTGGAGAAAAAACTGAGAAAAACCGTCGACAAGGCCGTTAACAAAACCCTCTTTCCCACTAGCAGTGAAGGAGGCTGGCTTGGGGAAAGAGGCACGTACAAACAAGTTTTCTGGAGATGTCAGTCGTTCTATCGGTTGATACGGCAATCAACCTAGCTGATTTCACACGTTATGCCAGCCACGCACCACTTCCGGAGGTGGGGTCGGAGCGCCGCCAGGCGGCGAAAGCGCTTAATACGTGCCCTGGAGCCTTATTACGGCGCCGTTTGGGATTCTGAGCATGGTAACGTCTCTGTGGGTGCGTAGCCATGCACAAAGACGACAAAAGGGATTGGTTTGGTCCACTAAGCCTGACTCGTGCCTTTAATACGACATTCATTAGGGAAAGAGCCAATTGATGCCAATCTGAATGACAAAAAATAAACAAGAAATGAAAGTGAAACATAAAATGACACCAAGCAACACCGAATGGCTCCGACGTCAGAATGATTAGCATGTTCTCCACACCAAGTTGGTATTATCCCTTTTTATAAATTTAAACGATAAAAAGGATAAAGGATAAAGCATTTGCCGTTGATCAATCCCTTTTTGGGATGCGGCACGCATTCTACTTCCATTTGTACATTCGTAGTGGCGTTTGAATGCGATGTGGCCTATACAATGACTTGGGCCAGCCGATGTACAAGTCAGTGTTTTTATCCTCCCAGACAAGTCTGGTACCAATTAACCGACCCCGGAGGGATGGAAGGCTTGGTTGGCCCGGGCGACTCACGACCCAGGATTTGATCCCGGACCGCTCGCGTGGTAAGCGCGCCACTTGTCACTACACCACTTCCGCCCCTAATTTAACATGAATGGAAAATTTGCTGAATGAAGCGTTTAAAATTTGAAGGTTTACTTGAATCGGAGCTCAGAAGTCCAGATAAGACAGACTTGGGCAAAAATAAATTTCCTGCACTGCTTTTTTCTCGGTGAGGTAGCAGTAGCAGTGCAACAGTGCCGGTATCATCATCAAACTTTTATAACGAAACTCTGTGTATGCGTCACTAAACACTGTAGATATGTAGTCATATAGGTATAATGTTGATATGCCCGTAAAAATTTTCAAAAATTTCAGAAGAAACAGCAGAAGGTTTCTCAGCGAGCTTCTGGTCAGGATACAGGAGCTAGCTCGTCTGCAGTCCCGGCGGAAGACTCGGCGTACACAAGCGCTACAGGAGCATGCGTCAGCAGTGGCGTAGCATCCTACTCGGTAATTGTAAGTTCTTCTGCACTCATGCAACCACCGTAGATGCGATTATGAATATGGCACGTTCTGTTCATATTCCAATATCATTTTCATATTGGAAAATTTCAAGGTGCCAACTTCAACTGTGGATGTTAAAGGCAGCGATTACGATAAAGAGGAGCGCATCGGGGAAGCATATGCACCACACGAATCAGTTACTTGGCTGCCAGGGAAGCGAGGTGTGGCGCTTTCACGACGAAAGGTGCGCTGGTTGCTGAGCAGGACTTCGAAAGCACTCCGCCCCCAAAAGCGATCCGCCCACTAGTTTAGTTGGTGATTTGGACGAGCTGCGTTGCCAGCAGCGGCACAACTGGAGCAACTCGATTGGAGCGTGGTTTGGCATGGTGCCACCAAACGCGTTGCGTGAACTCGTTCATACGTCCGCTTTCTGAGCTGTTACCTGTTCATGAGTGAAAACCAACGGCCAAAAAAGGGGTCCCGTTTTGCGTTTTCTTGACGGATTTCTCCGCTTTTTTCGCCACTGGCGTACCATTGAGCACCACCGTCTCTCTAAACTTCTTGAACCTATCGTAATCGCTGCCTTAAAAAGAATGGATCCAGATTGGTCCATCAATAATGGTTGACCTCGTCTCCCTCGCCAATCTCTATTCACATTTTTCCTGGTATCTGAACTCTCTCACAATCGAATTATAAAGTTTCATGGCAGACTCCGGCCACTTTGGTACAGGCCTCGTCCCCTCCCACCAGTGGAAGTGGACCTCATTTCCTTAGCAGACTTATATCCTTTTTTTGGTCTCCCAGACTTCCTGAAACTTAATTATAAGCTTGGTAAAAATCGCCTCCCACTTTTGTGCATGCCACGCCCACCATTGACATTCAACACCCATTCTTCTCTGACTTCTGTCCACCTTTTTACCGCTATCTTAGCCTTCACGGGAGCGATTTATGATGAGAAGTGTAGGAAACGCTGTCACTTTAGGACACGCTCCGCCCATTGTGTGCGGACCTCCGCTCACTTAAAGGCAAAGGTCGGGCTCAGGCACGCTAGAGAAGTAATTCCCGTGCCTGGAGGTTGTATGTGGGTAGCTGCACACATTGCAGCAACTTCCCACCTTGAAAAACCCCGTTAAGGCCCCGGGGCGTTCGGTTTCAATCCAGGACCGCCCACCTCCGGAAGTGGTGCGTGGCTGGCATAACGTGTGAAATCAGCTAGGTTGATTGCCGTATCAACCGATAGAACGACTGACATCTCCAGAAAACTTGTTTGTACGTGCCTCTTTCCCCAAGCCAGCCTCCTTCACTGCTAGTGGGAAAGAGGGTTTTGTTAACGGCCTTGTCGACGGTTTTTCTCAGTTTTTTCTCCACTGTCGTTCCACTTCGCATCTCTATACTCAGTTTCAATCGCCATAATACCCCCCCTCAGCCCCCCTGAATAACTTCCTTATCCTGCCCGGCGCCACGACTATGGAGCTAACTACTCCTAAGTTTTTTCGAAGCGCAAGTCTTTGCATAAAACCAGAATCTACAAGAAGATAAAAGACGAAAGCGCTGTAAACCTAGACCTGACACATGCAACTTCCTTAACACCACCTTTTGAAAACACGCTCGCGTGCTACGAACGGCGCGATGGCCTATAGAGAGCTGATTGCTCCGCAGTGTCAGTCGTTGACGGAATTCTCTCCTTATCGAACAATCGCTGACGTCATACTACGATGACCTAACTTGCATGCTCAAACGCGGATTTCGCCCTCATGTGCCCGCGGTTATGAGCACTCCATGAACTCTACAGTTCGTGGAGGCATACTCTTAGGCGACTGCGCAGTCACTATACATATAAACTCGCACCGTAAAGTGACATCGCGAAATGCCTCTTCTACCACAGACAACGAGCGCATTATATAAGCCGTATATTGAGTCCATAACAATGTTATCTCTATTATATAAATCATTGCAGGAGCAAGTGATATCCCTTTTAGAGCCAGAATAACACGTCCATCTTACTGTATGAAAAGGTGTCCAACAAAGATCTATCCATCTGCATCTGAAGCGATAGCTGTCCTAACGTATTTACTCTTATGCCTTCTTATAGTCTCATCATTACAAATTACAGATGAAATTGTCCGCCTAATGCACTTAATTGACTAACGTCAAATCTCTCATATCATACATTCGCCTCCTACTACAGCGCGCAGTTGTACGAAGGAGTCAAATATAACATCGAGCAGAGTACCTGAATCTATCTGCATGTTAGCCATAATGCGAGTATAACGAAACATCCATTATGCCACTCAGCTCGATCTTTGCGTTTCCATTAACCGCCACCTCTATATCTAAGAACACACATCTCGGGCGTAGACCTATCTCAGTGCTCGTGCTGAATATAACTTCAGCTCGTGTCTCTTCCTTACATCCCTATTCAGACACTGGTGAAATAATCGAGTATCGAGTGGCTGCACAAGATCAACTGGATAAGAGATTGCCGTCACAGCAGGGCCAGGGGGCATCACTATGCTGAGCCGTAGCCCCCCCTAACATGCAGATCTAAAAACAGCAGCAATCGTTATCAACCGAAACTGCAGACGCACTTTCTTTTCACGTGCTCTTATATCACAAGTCCAAACTCCGAGGGGCACTCCGCAGTAGTCATGAGCGAATTACGGATGATGAACAGACCCGAAGCATTCAGCTCAATGCTGCGATCGACAGGTGATATTCTGTACGCAAATTCTCAATTTTTTGCTCTCACTACAATCATATGGCCATCGTTCGCGTCATAGTCCTAATGCCGAACCTACAGATATCAACGCAAAAGCGAGATAGCATGCAGTGCAGGTCCAAGGTCACGCTCAGTTTCTAGAGGAAACGAGCTCTCACATAATCTCTTCACAAGGGCACTAAGGCGTCTATTACCATGTACTAGCAAAGATTGAGAGAGAACAATTCATACAATTTCCGTGCGAAAACAGTACAAATTCGTTCTACAACTCTATATCGAGTCACTGCACTTCGCTCCTCAACATCGACCTCTACACTAAAACCAACCAATCCAAAAATATACTACGAGGCAAATACAATCTGGTGATGGTTATGCTGAGCGTACGCGAAGTACTTATGAGAAAGAGGGTAATACAATGAGAGTGATAAATATCGCTCAAATATTACTTACATAATTCAACTCATCATTACACTTGGAATTCTCCGACTGATATGCTTACAGCTAAACCAACTGTAGTATCATTATCTACATACCTACGAACATCCAAATACGATTGGACGCCTTCCGCCAAGAACCTCAACGCCTTTATTCTCGTTACTTGGCACACAATAGAACGATGGAGAGACATCTGTCACGAAGTTAAGACTTCGTACTGAGCTCTCGACTATACTGATATTCTCGAGTCACGAGCTAATAAGGTCGCTAATTATGCCAATCGTGATGGCTCCTAAGCTGAGTTCCTTTGCTCTTGGAATACAACCCTCTAATACCCCACGTGGATCCAGTCTAACTATCCCTACTTGTTGACTCCTTATCAAAAGGTTACCCGAACTCACGGAATACCCTAAAATATTCTACTGACTAAAACGTGGCCTATTTCTATCGTTCCTACCTACCGTCATTAAAGTAATTTGTATCTCCATGTCTTTTAATTCGCTCGGATGAACTACTGTTCACGTATGCGAGTGATCCACAACTCCTTCTCCTGCTAATCTGTTAGCATCTATGATCTGTCAATACAATAATAAATGAGTTTAAACAAATGATTAAAGTCCCCTACTGCGGTCTGAGTATCAGTTCACCCCATTGATACATCCTCGTAGGATATAAATGACAATAACATAAGCCTTAAAGTTGTTCAGCTTTTTGGAGCTAGTATATCAAGTATTAATCAGTGTTATGTAGTATAATCACATTGCAGTGGTTGATCCCGATTTAACGCAAGGAGAGGCCAAGCCAGCACCAAGTAACTAGCTCAACATCGAGATGATATGCACCTTAGCGTATTTGAAATATCCTTGTGCGAGCATTTCACACATATGTACATAATGGTTTCTATATCTGAGGCATTTCGTTATCTGATTACGGTTGACATTTATCCGTTGACCCAATTAGTAGCGAGCGTGTAATAGATACCAAATTACCAATTCAGCTGTAGTAGCCGAATCTAACAGGTCCAAATAAGACGCCATCAGATACACGAAGTACGTAGTGCATGACATCGCTTGCCCCCCGACTACGCCAGAATGTATACGAATGGAGCTAATGAACCGAGAGTATCGCCGAAGCCTACGAGAGCGCAGGCTCCATACCCCCTTCTTCTCTCGATGAACACATATCAACTAACGACATCTACTGTCCACTATTGAGATAAGAACTACTCTAGTCTGATTTTGCAAGAGCCGGGGCTGTATCTGATAAAGGCAGGATGCGTGAATTGACTACGGCAATCTCTCTTACCACACAAGTCATCTGAGCCATACCGTCACTCATAAAATAAATCACAAACCGCATCTCCCCAATCGACCCAATGATCTAAAGAGATTAGCCATGCTACATGCCACGAGAATTTCCTTCAATAAAGATCGACACTAAATAAGTCAGAAATTTTAGGCTATACGAGCCGTACAGAGCACATATTAATCCTCGACAACGCCATGCGCATCGATTCGAGAATTATTTTTCATTCTTGTTCTCACTTATACACAACACCAGCGGGTAAGATCTTCAGAGAAATTCATGTCTCCTTCGGGTAGACTTCTGGCCAAATCTGAATTTTTAACTGACCTTGGAAATTTGGGCAGTCACTCTCATATCTATCAATCCATTGCAAGGCTGGTATTGGTATTCAATAACCCTTTTTAACACACTTCATAAAGGATAAAAAATGGTGTTCGTTTACCCATCTGCATAGAACTTCAAGGCTCTTCTACATAAATTCGCCTCTCTCCTCCCTCACCTCTCATGATTGCGAAACCCTTAAGTGAAGTTTTAGGAGGTGGTGACCCGTCACAGCCCTCTCTTTATCCAGCAACTAGTCCATTACCGTTCAGTTTTGCTCAAATTACTGGGGTCGGATCCTCTGAGCACGAATATCGTTTCCACTGCCATGGAAAGGCCTAGCTCCTGTACACGGCGCAATACACTCCATAACAATCTTGTGCCAAACGTAGGAAGCCGCTCGCAAACTTCATTAGATCAGCTCAAGCATTCGTTCATAAATAAAAGCCATAGGCTTTCAGCAGTATTTGAAAAAAGCACAACGCCAAACTTCGGGAAGAACCAAACTCGCAACCCCTGCTCTAGAAGCAAGACCGCTACCAGTTGCGCCACCGAGTCGACGGTCCAGTTTTTGAGCGCTGAGGCCACACCATAAGCTAGGTAAAGACACGTATTCATCAAGCGCTGGGAGCATTTATTAAGTTCCATCTACTAAGGGAGAAGTTGGAGAATTTTCCGACAAGGTTCCAAATACTTTCAGGCACTTGCGAAATTTATGCGAATTGATCTATCCGACAAATTTTGTTCGTCATTCGTTCGCTTCTTTCATTATTACTTAAAAATCCATCGCTTTTGGATTCCTACTGATGAACAGTAGAAAACGAGTTATACCGGACGAGAATGGATCGACTGGGACTATCATCCACAGGAAAAGGAAAGGTGTTCAAAAAGATGGTACAGAACAAGGTTCGTTCTTAGTGCTTAAGTGTGCGCATAGAATATGCTATTTTCTCTGTCTCTGCTTTTCTTTATAGGATCAACCTCTTTTCAGCAGATAAGTGCAAAGTTCCGCCGAAGGAGGGACCGGTGACAAAGAACCAAAGACCTTTCGGTCAATTGCTTAAATCGACGGTCTTCCCTAAAGAACACGCAAACTGTCCGTTCTGCGATAGTCGGGTCTACATACCAACCGTCAGGGATTTTATAACTGATACCGAACAAGGATCAATGCTAGAAGAGGTACCGTAATCATTTCTAGTTTCATTCTCGGTTGAGCAACTATAATCGTCAGAGGTGTCACTTCAATACCTTTGGAAGACCTTACAAGTCTCATGTGTGGCAGCAAAGTCTACTCATTGATTAAAAGACAGATTTCGGGACTCGTTTGAGGGAGACCTCCGCAATGTTGCAAAACATCACGTTCTTCTAAATCTGAGGTAAGTTTCATGTGATGTGTCGCAGTTTTTCTGTTTAGACTTTCCTTACGGGAAGCCTTTGTATCCCACCCTCCTCCTCAATACCGTTGGGAAACAGCACATCTTTTCTACATGCAAGGAGGCGATACAGTAATTTAGACTAGCTCAAGGAAATTTTCAGGGCAATCGCAAATGAGGACGGGATCAAAAGAGGCTCTTTTCGACTTCTTCGACACGAAGGGTGCAAGTAAGCTCTATATTCTTGAGAAATACGAAAAGGTTCTAATTGAGATTTTTGGACATAGTTCTCTTTGAATTAGATTATTTGGCAATCGTATGCGCATAAATAGGATGTGTGAACATACTGAAAGAGTTTTATCCAACAATTGTCCAGACAAGTGACAATTTTGCTTGTATCAACCGACATCCCGTTTATCATCAAATTAGCAGGCACTAGCAATGCCTTCATCGTTCATGAAGAACTTCAGAAATTTTTTTGACCTACTGTAGAAAGGTAGGTGCCTAACCTAGTTGGGGGGGGGCACGCGGCGGCACGGCGCTGTGTTCGTCTGTTCCTCTAAGACTTAGTCCACGGGACAGTTACTTTTTCGTCGCCACATAGCAATTTCGAAATACGCGGCATCGGCGAATCAAGCTGAGACAACAACAAGCGCCGCGAGCCGGAGCCTTGGAGGAGCAGACGAACAGAGCGCCGCGCCGCCGCCCCCCCCCCCAACTACATAGGTTAACACCAAAAGCTATTATATAGTTTTTACTTTATAAATTGAAATGTGCTCTTTCATTCGAAGAATTGAGATTTGCCTCGGCTCCGGCTCTAGAATGAAGTCTGCTAGAGTATATTGATGGACTGCTTTTTTGACACCGATTCGACATCTATACATACTGTTGAGCTTTTTTCAGTGAAGAATTCCTCGTACCATCAGTCATAAGTAAATACATCAAACGAATCCTGCGGCGTACAGTTTTTGGAAAGTCTTCATGGAGCTTCAATATGGTTAGTAGTTTACCGTTGACACATAGTTCATCCTTCCATTCATGGTTTTGCATTTAGAGAGAATTCTGCAATCGTCTATCACAATGTCTTGTTCTGGCTCGCCGCGGTATGAAACTCGTTGACGCGTCTTTCTACAGTTACAAAATTCATCGAATACGTAGGTTTTACACGTGTTTCAGAGATGAAAACAAACAGTTGTGGTACTCGTGCCCCGGAGATGAAACACCCGGGGAGGGAGGGCAAATCTGTAGTTGAATAACCTGCCAGGGAATCATTCCTCACGATCTACCGACGGATATCTGGACTACTACCGCTACTCTATTTTGCTTCATAATCCCACTCAGAAAATCGATTGGCAGATTTGGAAGCAGATTCGAGATCAGCGTCCAAAAACACATCCAACGGTATAGGTATCATTGCATATGACCACTTCGACTCATATCCTTTCCTGGGGCCGTATGCTGAATGTTGGGGAGGGGATGGGGATGGGGAAAGGTTGGGGAGGTTCGTCGCAGGACCCACTGGGCAACGGCCGCACCTTTGATTTTGTAGCTTTGTTTCCATTCTTTCATCGCTGTTTTTGGGATGAAGAAAGGTATTTACGAGCGAATATACAATCAGAAACAGTAAAAGGATGGAAACAAAGCTGCAAAATCAAAGGTGCGACCGTTGCCCAGTGGGTCCTGCGACGAACCTCCCCAACCTTTCCCATCCCCGTCCCCTCCCAACATTCAGCATACGGCCCCTGGTAACTATGCAGCAAATTTTAACGGCGGTCCGTGCGTGATAACACATCGTAAGTAGCATTCGGAATTGGTTGTTCGAATCAGGTATGTAATGAACGAGGCAACATGTTTGAATTAACGCGTTGCGAATTGGATGATTATCGGTGCTAAAGTCCTGGTTCACCGTCGATTGGTTAGCCAGCTCAGCAGGTTATATGTACAGGGGTGGCCAAAAGAAGACACTTTGCCCATGGCGCACATCATCAAATTTTTCATGACACAGGGAGCCGCTGGTAATGAAAGTTTTACAGCAAAGTAGGGCCCTCTTCCACTGCCCTCCATTACCGTTGAGCTCTAAGAAGCCTAAAGCTGATCGTTCCTGCCTGAAGCTGCTACGCAATCTCTTCAATCGGTTAATTAATGGATTTGTTCCTAGAAACAATAGCTCTAAATTTGCGAGACCCCTTCCGACTAGCGGTTCTACGATAAATCGTAGAGGGGGGGGTTGTATATCCCCGAGGACCAGTTAATGGCTCAAACCCGCGCACTAGGTTCCCATGGCGAATTTTTTGTGATATAACCGGTGCGGAAAGCAATTTTATGTTTATTGGTAGATTGTGATATGTTCTTTGATGTAAGTTGGGAGCAATCGGTTTAGGTCTAGCAAAATGTGATTAATGCTGTCTGAGATGTGGAGTAAAGTGTCTCTTTCTTTGGCCACCCTGTATATTGTCAGTGCTGATTAACTACGGCAATTACCCAGAGGCCAGAATAAGGTTAATGAAGAATTTCCAGGTAGAGTCGGAGACCGCAGAAGAGAGGAACTCACCAACGTCGCACTTGGCAGGCGGTCGCTCTATGGTTGATGAACGACTCCGTTTGGCAGCGAAACGTTATGCTCCAACGCCGCAGTGCCTCGCGCCTCAGCCCGGCCTTCCCTCGCGCCGATCCAGACTTTAGCCCTCTGCAGAGATGAGTTAACGTTAAGATGGCAGCAGCAGTCGCATCCCACGAGCAACCCAGCTGACAATGCTAGTTATTCGGGTCTCATCCAGTAAGGGGGGCATAGCGATCTAGAGCATTTCAAACCATGGAAAGCACATTATTTTATTGTAGACGTTCAGGACTAAGCCTAGAAAGGGAAGGAGTCCCCGGGTCCGTGAGCAATCTTGGTTTTCCCCGGGGGACTTCCTCCCCCTCCTAGGCTTAGTCCTGACCTGCTAACTAGGTGAATTTCACTTCTCGTAGACGTTAATGTCATCTAGTACAAGAATACATACATTACACAAAACACCTGAAGAAATAACATAGGAAAAAAGCTGATAGCAGCTCGTAACTTTAAAGGACTCCTTGAGCCAAATTGGCATTAGAGCAGACCGTGCACCGCAATGCCCCCTCTTACCGGATGAGACCCTGGTTCCGTTTCTCGGGTTCTAGGCCATTTCTTATTTTTCTTCATCCCTGCACCATGCCCTCCTCTACCTTGATTTATAATTGGATGCCTTTTCATCAAAACCCTGCTTCCAAAGTGAAGAGGCGACCCAGTGGTGTAATCGGCAGCACAACTGCCCTGAAGGCAAGAGGTGCGGATCAATTCTCGCCTGGGGCGGAGAGTTCTTCCCATAGCCCAGCACTCTTCTGATAAGTTGAGCTAGTGCTGACAACTAGCTTGAACTCCTGAAATGTTTCGCTCTGATCATTTGGGAACGGGATGCAGTACAATTCTTCACTGATGAAATGCCGTGTCGAACTTGGAAAGGGAAACACATTAAGGCACGATTTTTGATCTTGATTGAGATGGGCAGGTGGAACGTGCCTTCGGAAGCACTCGAACAGCAGTCGTGTGTGTTCTCCATCACTAGCGTTTGGAATTCCAGATGCTGTCGGGAGCAGTCCATTTTGTTCGCTATACGGTGACAAAGCTCTGGGGCAGAAATTGCAGATGCTCCTGAACGTCTCTACTGCTTCTGCTTATACTACTGCTTTTTTCTCTTTGGATCTTACTTTATCGCCAGTTGCACAGCTTGACACATTCGAACGCGAATTGGTAGTGCCTTGTGCCTCAACGTACTTAAAGGCAAAGGTCGGGATTAGTTGACCAAACCAACCCTTTCGGTCATGCCTGTACTTGGTTACGCACCCGTAGAGATGTTCCCACACTCAAAACCCGAAACGGCGCAGTAATAAGGCCCCAGGGCATGTACTATGCGCTATCGCCGCCTGGCCCCGCTACGACCGCCCACCTCGGATGTGGTGCATGGCTGGCATAACGTGTGAAATCAGCTAGGTTGATTGCCGTATCAACCGATAGAACGACTGATATCTTCAGAAAACTTGTTTGTACGTGCCTCTTTCCCAAAGCCAGCCTCCTTCACTGCTAGTGGAAAGAGGGTTTTGTTAACGGCCTTGTCGACGGTTTTTCTCAGTTTTTTCTCCACTGTCGTTCCACTTCGCATCTCTATACTCAGTTTCAATCGCCATAATACCCCCTTATTGAGCCCGACTTTTGCCTTTAAGCGTCAAATTGTTAGCGCATCGAGAGTTTCCGAAAAGAGACTCTTACTGGCTTCCCTCTGCCCCTGTGTCGTGAAGATGTTTAACGATCACATGATCTCTTTCTCTGATGTCATCGATTTCGGAATCCTACCTGAGGTGGCGGAGGAAGTGAAATCTTAATTGATGCGAAGCCTGGGGCTTCTTGAGCTTAGCGACTCATGCTTAAAAGAGGAATTTTACATGGAAGAGATATGGAATTGTCCATTAGCTGAATTCCAAACATAGCGCAAGCGATAGCGAACTTCTCAAATATGTTGATCGATATGATAAACTCAGGTTTTCACCCTTCTGTTCAGCTGTTAACTCAAACAGTAAACAAGATTGAACGAAATCTTGTAAGTAAATTTTGTAGGCCGAAGCCTGTTAGATCGTAGAGTATTATGAATCCACCAATAGAGTGGCGGGCATGCATGATAGACCAAGGTTGTGAGCCAATTTTTTAATTCCAATAAAGCGTAGAAGCGGACGTGCTCTTGCGGCCTTTTTATTTTCATTGATTATTTCTTGATTAAAAACTGTTCAGGTCATCTGTCCGCGCAGTTCTTCGAAGATATGCAAGAACAAGCAAAATTGACGTTCAAAGATGTGAAACAGCTCTTAGAATCCCTCTTAGCGAATATGCTACGATTTCTTGTTCTCTACTGTGTGCACGGGCTCAGGTTTGCGAATGCCAGTATCACGAAATACAATTCCATTCTATTTTTATCCCTCCTTCAGAGATCAAGTGTTCACGAAATTGTCGAGTACAGGAGAAGTCATGTATAAGCTGAGATATCCGGCTAAAAAGAATATTGCGAAAAAGGTTGCTGAATCAGATGAGGTAAAAACTATGTTTCTCTCAGATATCCTGCAGTCTTTCATGAACTCCATGTTCATGATGTCATCCTCTTTTCTCCGCCTCCTGCCTCGCAGGATATTTAAGCGTGTGGAGCGTTCAGCGGGAGCTAAGGCTTCCTCCGCAGTTGTCTGACTCCTGGCCAACGGAATCGCGAGCTATCTCGACGCCCCCCCCCCCGCCATCGCCTAGTCGCTGAATCATCAAGGCCCGGTCTGTCCACGTAGAGGAAAAGGATTGGGCCGCTAAGACCGGCGGACTCGCAAAGGCAAGCTGCCCCTTCCAGAGATAGAGTTGGTGGAGTCAAGATCAAATCTCAAAGCTTTTCAGTCAAGAAATTCAAGAGCACCAATTATATTGGTTGTAGGGATTTAGGTTCACTCTGCTTATGAAAGTTTTAGAAATAATAAATATACTTGCTGCAAAGTGTGAGTTAACCAAAATATGAACCACCAAACACTTATATCTGGGGAGTGATGCCCTCAGAACACAGTCCTTCTCTGTCTATCTACTGGGTAGATTTGGAATCCTCTGGTTCGTCTAATTCCTTCAATTCCTTTTAGTCTCATTCCCTCCTTATTTCGGTGCAGTTTCCACCAATTTCTTTTATTGGGAACCTCTAACTGAGCAAGTCAAACCAAGTCATCAAGTCAAGGTGGTTGGATGCCTGTGGCACGATCACACTTGGTGAACAGGCAAATCAACTCAATCGAAAGCTTGTCTCGTTTTTAGAGCTGATTCGGTCTCAGAGCATGCAGGATACAAACTCCATATTTCCATAGAATGCGTGCCACATCCCAAAAAGGGAATTGATCAACGGCAAATGCTTTATACCTTATTCTTTTATTATTTATTACTATTCCGTGACATTCGTTTCATTCATCTCGTTCATTGGTCAAGCTCCTCTATGTCTCAGTCATCCAGTGGCGATCCTGGGTATACGGTATTCCAGAGGCGGTACTCCCATAGAACGAAGGGTCGCAAAATTTTGAAAGGAAACGATAAACTAGACGGCTAACGATGCAGCTTGCTCTTCCAGCTAAAATAGCACTAAGATTCCAGAATATTTGGAATGCGTAGTTGATCCCATAAAATGATAATCAACGCCGGCTGATCTA